GTTGGCACGTTGCCTGACGCACTCAAGGCGCTAACAACACTGGAACAGCTGGAACTGGACAGGACGCAGCTGGTTGGCAGCGTGCCTCGCTCGTGGTCTAGCATGAGGAAGCTCAGAGTCGTGAGGCTGTTTGACAGCCCACAGCTTGAAGGATGCCTGCCTGCTTCTTGGAAGCAGCAGCTGGCAGGGTTTGATGTTGATGCGAATGTGTATGCTGGCACCAACATCAAGGGCTTCTGCTGAGGCAGTGCGTGGGGCTGCGTGTGCGCCACACTGGGCAAGCCGTGTACACCTGCTTTTGAAGCAGATGTTGAGCATGCAAGCAGCCATCTTTCTACTGCAGGTTGCAAGGTTTTCTGTGCTGTTGTCTCCTTGGTGACGCACATATGGCTGCAGGCGCGTGCTGATCCTCCTGAAGCACAAACACGGCACATGGCGCTAGCTGGATCAAGCATCCCACTGTTGTGTGTGCTGAGCAGGCATGCTCCTCAAAGGGCCTCTGGCACATACCTTGATGGATTGCAGCTGGTAGAACTGCAAGCATGGATGGTTGTTGGATGGTGAAGCATGTGTGTGGTGTGCTTTTAATTCAGAGTGGCATGAATTCGTCGCATCAAGGTGCAGCACGCCGTCACCAACATGCATTACGGCACAAGCGATTGCCCATGTGGCACATGGATGCTGCGTCCGCCATAGTGCACTTTTAACTTGGCTCAGGGTCGGTGTAACAGGCGACCCAAAATGGCTTGCCAATCTAGGGGATTTTGCCCTACTTAAGGAGTTGCAGACGCCTATATATATAGTAACGGCTACGCATAGAGGCTTTGATTGATTGAGGAGAGTTACATGGGTGTGCACGTTGGAAACGGAACACTTCGAGGACTGCAGCGCGCAGGACACGAGAATAAACCACAAAAAGCCTCAGAGAAGCAATTTGCAGCTTCCTCACCCAAAATAACACAAACTCTGCGCAGAGAAAAATCATCAGGACGGAACAAAAAGGTGTCAACGTCAGCGAAATAGGATTGGAACATGCAGACATGGCAACAACTAGCAGGTACTGGGCACCTCGGTGCTCCTGCTTCAGGTGTTGAAGACATTGTACAACATGATGATCAACATGATCATAACTCTCTGCTACTAGAACGCGCACAAAGCAACAGCATAACCCGCAGCGCCGTGGCACCACAGGCACCTGCCACCCTACTGATGTGTCTGGCAAGGCCACACCCCTGGCAATGGCACCTGCCCAACACACCTACTGGCTGACACAGGCTGCATGAGAGTACTAACAGCACAAGACATGCAACCACATGTAGCAAAACGGATCAAAGAGCAGAGGATGCAAGAAATAACCCCAATTCATGCTATGACGCAGAGGCCAAGTCCCTTCTTGGTGCTAGCTGCAGCCGGCCTTCAACCACGCGTAAAAAGGGGTGATCAGCTGGCACAATATCCAGCCAGGTCAAGGGTGCCGCCTTGATGACTATGAAGTCAACCAGCAGCTCCCAAAACCTAGCCACCGCCGCCTTCTTCTTCGTCTGCACCAGCTCATCAAGCTCCTGCTGTCGCCGCTGCTGAAGCTGTAGCTGCTGCTGCTCTCTGTGCTGCCTCACTGCCTCATTATGAGCCAGTTGCGCAGCTGAGGGAGTAGCAGGCTGCAACAACTGAGTGATAAGCTGCTGGTCAGCAGGTGGCGCCCGGGCAGGGCCACCTGCTGGACTGGCAACAAGGTCATGCTGCCTGTTTAGCACATGCTGTAGGTTGGCTGCCCTCCTGCCAACATCCATAGCATTGAAGGCCGCCAAACACACGACACGCCACACGCATGTGAGCACACTCCGCCCACCATGCGGCGGTTGCATGAGCCAAATATGCTGCACACTTAAAGCTGAGGATCCAGGCGTGCGAGTGCACCATGCTGTAGGCAAATTCTCCACTATGGACTGTACCACCGCTTGCGCAACAGAGCAGTGCCAGAGGCGAAGAAGAAGAGGGGTTACATGGTGTGCACAGGCGACTACGTCGCAACGAACACCCGAAAACAAAGAGAGCTGCTAGAAGTTCAGCGGAAAAACAGACTGTCACCCAAAAGAGGCCCACCCCGAGAAAGCCTCTGTGCGTGAGACATGACACGTGGCTCTGCAGGCAGAACCGTCAGACTCACAACACGCAGTGTAGAATTCTATTGGGACAAGCAGCATGACTAACCTAAAACAGTGTCGGTGACAGCAGGCCATACTTGTGCAGTACAGCGGGCGGGCTGAACTCAACGGGACAAAGTTGGCCAGTAAAGGTCAATACCTTGGTCCGAGGCAGCAAACAAGGGGGGGGGGGAGCAGAGTACCTGGCAGCTGCTGCAGGGGCAATGCAACTGCATATTGCAGCAGCCGCACCACAAACCGTACAGCTCCTGCAGCGCAGGACCACCAGTCTCAGGCTTGACAGAGAGCAAACGGGCATAAATACATGCAGAATGGTGGCTATCACCGCCGTACCACACGCAGACCATTACCCCGCAACACAGTGTGCCAGGAGATAAACGGCTGCCGGGTCAACAGCTGGTTCTTGCACCGCCGCGGCACTCTGGCCGTAGCGGCAAAGTCAGCAAGCGCATCCCAAAAAGCACCAAGTGCCGCACGTACCGCCACCTGCTCCACCAGCACCGGCACCACAAGATCACTTGCCACAGCCCAGGCCGCTCTGCGGCCTTTTTCAAACGCATGTATAGATGCCAGGCAGACCATATCCCACACCAGTCGGTGCACATTGTGATGAGGGGAACAAGCCAGCCACACCGCACGACACGGCAGGCTCTCACCTGCCGGCAACATGCCAGAGGCATTGATTGAGGAGAGTTACATGGGTGTGCACGTCGGAGACGGAACACTTCGAGGACTGCAGCGCGCAGGACACGAGAATGAACCACAAAAAGCCTCAGAGAAGCAATTTGCAGCTTCCTCACCCAAAATAACACAAACTCTGCGCAGAGAAAAAGCATCAGGACGTAGCAAAAGGTGTCAATGTCAGCGAAATAGGATTGGAACATGCAGACATGGCAACAACTAGCAGGTACTGGGCACCTCGGTGCTCCTGCTTCAGGTGTTGAAGACATTGTACAACATGATGATCAACATGATCAAAACTCTCTGCTACCAGGACGCGCACAAAGCAACAGCATAACCCGCAGCGCCGTGGCACCACAGGCACCTGCCACCCTACTGATGTGTCTGGCAAGGCCACACCCCTGGCAATGGCACCTGCCCAACACACCTACTGGCTGACACAGGCTGCATGAGAGTACTAACAGCACAAGACATGCAACCACATGTAGCAAAACGGATCAAAGAGCAAAGGATGCAAGAAATAACCCCAATTCATGCTATGACGCAGAGGCCAAGTCCCTTCTTGGTGCTAGCTGCAGCCGGCCTTCAACCACGCGTAAAAAGGGGTGATCAGCTGGCACAATATCCAGCCAGGTCAAGAGGCATTGATTGAGGAGAGTTACATGGGTGTGCACGTTGGAAACGGAACACTTCGAGGACTGCAGCGCGCAGGACACGAGAATAAACCACAAAAAGCCTCAGAGAAGCAATTTGCAGCTTCCTCACCCAAAATAACACAAACTCTGCGCAGAGAAAAATCATCAGGACGGAACAAAAAGGTGTCAACGTCAGCGAAATAGGATTGGAACATGCAGACATGGCAACAACTAGCAGGTACTGGGCACCTCGGTGCTCCTGCTTCAGGTGTTGAAGACATTGTACAACATGATGATCAACATGATCATAACTCTCTGCTACTAGAACGCGCACAAAGCAACAGCATAACCCGCAGCGCCGTGGCACCACAGGCACCTGCCACCCTACTGATGTGTCTGGCAAGGCCACACCCCTGGCAATGGCACCTGCCCAACACACCTACTGGCTGACACAGGCTGCATGAGAGTACTAACAGCACAAGACATGCAACCACATGTAGCAAAACGGATCAAAGAGCAGAGGATGCAAGAAATAACCCCAATTCATGCTATGACGCAGAGGCCAAGTCCCTTCTTGGTGCTAGCTGCAGCCGGCCTTCAACCACGCGTAAAAAGGGGTGATCAGCTGGCACAATATCCAGCCAGGTCAAGGGTGCCGCCTTGATGACTATGAAGTCAACCAGCAGCTCCCAAAACCTAGCCACCGCCGCCTTCTTCTTCGTCTGCACCAGCTCATCAAGCTCCTGCTGTCGCCGCTGCTGAAGCTGTAGCTGCTGCTGCTCTCTGTGCTGCCTCACTGTCTCATTATGAGCCAGTTGCGCAGCTGAGGGAGTAGCAGGCTGCAACAACTGAGTGATAAGCTGGCAGATTGATTGAGGAGAGTTACATGGGTGTGCACGTTGGAAACGGAACACTTCGAGGACTGCAGCGCGCAGGACACGAGAATAAACCACAAAAAGCCTCAGAGAAGCAATTTGCAGCTTCCTCACCCAAAATAACACAAACTCTGCGCAGAGAAAAATCATCAGGACGGAACAAAAAGGTGTCAACGTCAGCGAAATAGGATTGGAACATGCAGACATGGCAACAACTAGCAGGTACTGGGCACCTCGGTGCTCCTGCTTCAGGTGTTGAAGACATTGTACAACATGATGATCAACATGATCATAACTCTCTGCTACTAGAACGCGCACAAAGCAACAGCATAACCCGCAGCGCCGTGGCACCACAGGCACCTGCCACCCTACTGATGTGTCTGGCAAGGCCACACCCCTGGCAATGGCACCTGCCCAACACACCTACTGGCTGACACAGGCTGCATGAGAGTACTAACAGCACAAGACATGCAACCACATGTAGCAAAACGGATCAAAGAGCAGAGGATGCAAGAAATAACCCCAATTCATGCTATGACGCAGAGGCCTCCCGTTACAGGCGTCTGCAACTCCTTAAGTAGGGCAAAATCCCCTAGATTGGCAAGCCATTTTGGGTCGCCTGTTACAGCTGGTAGCTGAGATAGGCTCTCGTAGCTCACTGGTTTAGAGCGTTCCATTCGGAATCCTGGGTCACTCCAGGTGCGAGAGGTCACAGGTTCGAACCCGACTAGAGGCGCATTGCCCGGAGGTCAATACTTGGCCGGGGAGGTATTAAACTGCTCCGGCTCTGCTTTGCCCACCCGGCCTTTGCTGGGCGCGGCCCGCGAGTCGCAAGCGACAGCATAGAAGACCGGCAGCGGCCTTACAGTGCTAGATCTAAAGCAGTCAGCTCTTTTGACGGGCTGGCAGCTCCTGGACCTTGCACTAGGCGAGCAGCATCAGTCTGACGTGTGCAGTCGTTGGTGCCGCTTCTCTGGCACCTCCGATACCGCCTAGCTGCCTTCTCGACATCGTCTGGAATTTCAGAGGTTCATCTCGCGGGGCCTTTGTTGCAGCCCTGCGCCATTGCAGGCTGGTGTCGGAGCAGCATCGAAGGTTTGCAGCCCCTGCTGGATTGACGTCCTTAAGGCGTGCAGCCGTCCTCGAGTACGCAGCATCAGCAGTATCGTGTTTCTGTCTGGCGCGCTGCAGCATGCGACAGCCGCTAGCAGGCCCCTGACACAGTAGCAGCAGCAGCAGCAACAGTGTGGCAGAGCTCTGCCCTGTCGCTGCATGCTCCAGAGTCTGGCAGCAACAGTCTCGCTGTGTACGGTTTCAGCAGGCAGTTGGGCTTGGTTTAGGGTGGCCTGCGCCGGAAGGCAGGTGTTGGTTCTGGCAGCTCTGTTATACTGCTGTTGGCAGGGTGTTGGCCTGGTCTAATGATCAGTAGCCATCTTTTACCCTTTTTTGCTCTCCAGGCAGTCTCTGTTTGGAGCGGGCTGATGGCATCACATATTGGACGCTATGCTGGGGCGTAGGTGTGTCAGGGCAGCACTCTGTTTACGCCCCTACATTGTTGTCCTCCTTTGGTGTTGTTCTAGCCTTTTGCCTGGTCTCACCTACTCAGTGCTTTGCATCCCGTGGTTGGTTGTGATGGTGCAGCTGCTTCATGTCCTGTCATTGCCCCAGGGCCCTGCCATGTCATGGTGCAGCCGGGGTTGGTGCAACATGGTTTGCCGCTGCTACTGCCACCCTTCTTCTGAGCGTGCATTGTTGCTGTTGCTTTGATCCTTGCCCCTGGTCAGTTCAAGGTTGTCCGGCTTTGTTGATAGCCACTAGCATGCCACTGCAGTATGTGGTTGCAGTGTCTGATTCTCAGCCCTACAGTCTTTTGCTGCTCAGTTACCCTCTTGTTGCCTCTAGTCCTCATCACCCTTAACGGGATGACGCCCGGGGTGGTGTAGTGACTTGAGAGCCCAGCCTGCTCGCAGTGCCGGAAGTGCATGGCGGCCCTGTGCACTTTTAGCACTGCATGCCGTCACTGACACTGTTGGCAGCACTTGAGATTTCCATTGACACGATTCTCCTCTGGAGGTACACTTGTGGGGGCAATACTGCGTGGAGTAAGGAAGGCGGCTGTGCAAGCATGGCCAAATGCCGAAACTTACACACTGAGGCTTTTTCTAGGGGTGGGCCTCCTTTCGAGTGACGGCCCGCGCTGAGCTTTTAGCAATCTTTTCAACTCTGGTGCCCGTTGCGGCGTAGCTGCTTGAACGCACCTTGTAACCCCTTCTTCCGCTACGCATCTCTGCTGATGTCAGCGTGCTGAAGGCCATGCTCAACAGCCAGGATCTGCAGGTGCTGTCAGCAGCTTACGCCAAGCAGGGTGAGCAGGTTTACAAAAACGTCATGTGCTTTGCTGCTGCTGTCAGTGACCGCCCTGCTAGCGCAACAACAGTGCATGCAGCTGACGGGGTGTTTGGAGACCTACACATGCGGGAACAGCCGGCTCAGCCGCTGTCCAGGGCGGAGCGAATTGCGGCAGCGCAGCGCAGAGCTCTCGAGCAGCACCTGCTGTGGACGGCAAGAGACGCACCAGCGGCAGCAGCAGCAGCAGCGGCGGCAGCGGCAGCACCCCCCAGGGCAGGCCCTACCCCTGCAGAGGCAGCAGCGGCATTGACAGCTGCACGGCTAGCAGCGGCAGCCCAGGCACCAGCACCAACCCCACTGCCACCAACGCTTGGCGCAGCAGCAACAGCGACAGCTCCCACAGCGACAGCAGCAGCAACAGCAGCCCCGACAACACCGCCACCAGCCCCAGCCACCGCAACAACAGCGCAGCCAGCAGCACGGCCAGCAGCACAGCCGGCTGAGGTGCCAGCACCTGGAATGCGCCGCTCAGCAGCAGAGGGGGCAGCAGCGGGACCTGCAGCAGCAGCCGTGGCAGACGCTGCTGCAGGTGCGGATGCTGCCTCAGCTGCAGCAGCTGAACAGGCAGCAGCCGAGGAGGACGATGACCAGCAGCTGCTGGAACTGGCACGGCTTCAGCAGCGGCCGCACACGCGGCGCGTTGCTGGCGCTCGCAAGCACAGCCCCAACCACCCGCCGGCCCGTACAACGGGCAAAGGCACCCCGCAGCCTGCAGCAGCAGACCAGCCGCAGGCGACAGGGGCACAGCATCAGCCGACGGCTGACCTGCTGACAGGGCAGCGGCAGTCAGCCGTCCAGCCACAACAGGACACCGGCCAACTGCAGCAGCAGCAGCAACAGCAGCAGCAGCAGCAGCACCCTGGCAGCAAGCACGCCAGACTGGGGCCTGAAGCAGCACCAGACGTGCTGCTTCAGCGCCACCGCAAGCATGCGCACGTTGGCGACGAGTACGCCATGGAGGACGCCCAAGCCGCTGCAGGTGCCACTGCAGAGGCAGGCTGCCACGCGGCAGCTTCGCTGCCGTACCCTTCAGCTTCTCTCACCCTGGGCCCCAGGGGCCCTGCCTTGCCGCAGCCAGCAGCAGCCTGCCAGCTGGACGTGGCAGGCCCCCAGCAGCAGTAAACAAATGCCCAGAAGCCCTAGCCTCAGGTTAGGGCTGCACAATGTCAATGGCCTGGCTACCAAGCTACCGGAGCTTAGCAGTCAGTGGCAGGAGCTAGGCCTTGACGTTGTAGCAGCAGTTGACACTCATGTGTCTTTTGCAGATCGAACAGCAGTGCAGCGTCGCCTACACGCTC